GACAAGTCTCTCTACCTCTTTTGGCCCGTTGTTTCTGTAGAGTGTCAGTGAGGACATCCTGCTAAGTGTTCATGCCCACTGCCAAACTGCCAGAAGTGCTTGGGTTCCTTGAGGAGTGCTTTTGGATCAGGCTTGCTTGCTTACTTTCCTTTCTTCCTTTTTTTTTTTTAATATTTCATTTAAAAAATTATTTATCTGAGAGGCAGAATTACAGAGAGGGAGAGACAGAGAGGCAGGTATTCCATCTGCTGTTTCACTCCCCAAATGGGCGCAACTGCCCTAGCTAGCCAATCCAAAGCCAGGAGCCAGGAACTTCTGGGTCTCCCATGCAGGTGCAGGGACCCAACCATTTGGGCCATCATTAGCAGAGAGCTGTCTCAGAAGAGGGGCAGCCAGGACATGAACCAGTTCCCTATCTGACTACTTTCTGTAGGGTGTATTAGGGTTGGTGATTATTAAAACTGGTGTAGGATGACCCTCCTGGGAGGTCTTGTACTGAGGCTTTCTGGCTCATCCTGGACACCAGGCTGGATACAGGAGAAGGCTCTGCCTTCTTTCCTAGGAGTTTTTATTAACTTCTTCCTTTCCCTATATCTGTACTTTCCCCTAACCAGTGTGGGGGAGAATTTAACAGATGTGATTGGAGTAGGAAGTAGCTATGATCACCTGGGGGCTAGTGCCGTATCCCTTAGTCCTCTGAGCTAACAGCACCCTTTCTCTTCCCCTTACAATCTGTAGATAGACTACCAGCCTTAGCATCTCTCCAGAAAGTTTCTAATTGGAATGAATGTGAGAGAAACTATTTCACAGAAAGAAGGAAGAAAGGTCAGAGAGGGAAAATTCCTTGGCTTTCTTACTGCTGACTTTCAATCCCTGTGCAGGCTTTATTTGTTTAAAGTGAAAAATCAGGGCTTTTCTTTTGTAAACCTTAGTTTTGCTCACCAGGACCAGACTAGGTGTGCACATTTAAACAAAAAGAGCCAGTGCATATGTTTGGAGACAACTGTTTATTTTATGTGGATCTAGGATTCTTTATATATATATATATATTTATTTATTTGAAAGGCAGAGTTACAGAGAGGCAGAAGCAGAGAGAGATACAGACAGAGAGACAGAGGTCTTCTGTCTGCTGGTTCTCTCCCAGATGGCCACAATAGTTAGAGCTGCACCAATCCAAAGTGAAGAGCCAGGAGCTTCTCCTGCATCTACCACACAGGTGCAGGGCCCCAAGGAATTGGGCCATCTGCTTTCCCAGACCATAGCAAAGAGCTGGATTGGAAGTGGAGCTGCCAGGACTTGAACCAGTGTCCATATGGGATGCAGGCACTGCAGGTGACAGTTTTACCCACTACACCACAGTGCTGGCCCCTGAATCTAGGATTCTGTCTCCTTAAGCAGAAGTCACTTTCGCATGGCTATGCCTGGTTATCCATGTAGTTTGTTTTCCTGCTAAGTGAGAGCTGGTGTTGCTTATCCAGTGGTCCTGGGGTTTGGGAATCAGGAGCGCAAGGGTTCTGCCTCAGGAATACTGGCCCAAGAATTGTCTTGTTCCTGAGCTTTAGCTTTTTCCTGTTGAGGATTTATATTTTTTTCTGAGGGAAGAAATGCTTGCAGAATTCCAAAGTCCATAGTTCTAATCTTGGGTTTCTGAAAAAAGGAACCTTATTTTAAATGATTTTGTTTAAACATTTTCTAAGTTGCCATGTGGAACCATATGTGGGACCTCCTGGGCATTTGAGTGAGAACAGGAGCAAATTCTCAAGAGCTGGGTCTGGCGCTGTGTTGCAGCGAGTTAAGTAGCCACTTGCGGTGTCAGCATCCCATATGGGCACCAGTTCAAGTCCCAGCTGTTCAAGTTCTGATCCAGCTCTCTGTTATGACCTGGAAAAGTAGTAGAAGATGGTCTAAGTCCTTGAGCCCCTGCAACCATGTGAGAGACCTAGGAGAAGCTCCTGGCTCCTGGCTTTGGATCAGCCCAGCTCCAGCCGTTGCAGCATTTGGGTAGTGAACCAACAGATGGAAGACCTCTCTTTCTGTCTCTGCCTCTGCCTCTCTAACTCTGCCCTTCAAATAAATTAATAAATCTTTAAAAAAAAAAAAAAATCCTGAAGAGCCTTGTATTGTTGTTGGTAGAGGAATCTTTGCCTCTCATGTAAAGAAAGAGAAATGTCATTCTGCTAAGAATCATACTGACATATAGATTAAATCTTGAACCTTTGGCCGGCGCCGCGGCTCACTTGGCTAATCCTCTGCCTGTGGCGCCAGCACCCCGGGTTCTAGACCCGGTTGGGGTGCCGGATTCTGTCCCGGTTGCTCCTCTTCCAGTCCAGCTCTCTGCTGTGGCCCGGGAAGGCAGTGGAGGATGGCCCAAGTGCTTGGGCCCTGCACCCGCATGGGAGACCAGGAGAAGCACCTGGCTCCTGGCTTCGGATTGGCGAGCATGCCGGCTGCAGCGGCCATTTGGGGAGTGAACCAACAGAAGGAAGACCTTTCTCTCTGTCTCTCTCCCTCTCACTGTCCAACTCTGCCTGTCAAAAAACAAAAACAAAACAAACAAACAAAAAAACCAAAAACTTGAACTTTTAATCTGTGGTCTCCAAATTCCTCTTTATCTGGTAGGTTTATAATCAAGGTCTTGCATATATTTCAGTGAGGAGCTGGTTCCTTGAAAAAGTTAGTCATACTGGTCACCATTTTTTTTGTTTGTTTTATACTTTTAATTTTTTAAAAGATTTATTTATTTATTTGAAAGGCAGAGTTACAGAGAGGCAGAGCGAGGCAAGGAGGGGAGAGAGATCTTCCATTTACTGGTTCACTCTCCAAATGGCCACAATTGCTAGAGCTGGGCCCATTTAAAGCCAGGAGTCAGAAGCTTTTTCTGGATCTCCCACATGGGCATAGGGGATACTTCTACTGCCTTTCCAGGCCATAGCAGAGAGCTGGATCAGAAGTGGAGCATCCAGGACTTGAACTGGTGCCCATATGGGATGCTGGCACTGTTGATGGCAGCTTTACATGCTATGCCACAGCACTGACCTCTACCATTCTCTCTCTCTCTCTCTCTCTCTCTCTCTCTCTAAGACTTTTTTCTTTTACTTGAAAGTCACAGTTATACAGAGGAGAGGCAGAGAGAGAGTGAGAGAGAGAGGTCCTCCATCCGCTAATTCACTCCCCTAGATGGTCGCAATGGTTGGAGCTGTGCCAATCCAGAACCAGGAGCCAGGAGCCTCCTCCAGGCCTCCCACATGGGTGCAGGGGCCCAAGGACTTGGGCCATCCTCCACTGCCCTCCTAGGCCACAGCAAAGAGCTGGATCAGAAGTGGAACAGCCGGGACCCGAACTGGCGCCTACGTGGTATGCTGGCACTGCATGCGGCGGCTTCACCTACTACGCCACAGTGCCAGCCCCTACCATGCTCTTTTGAAGTGACCTGTTTTTATGCTTTTCATTTTGCCTGAGTTTATTGACCCATGTTTTGCTTTTTTTTTTTTTCTTCAAGATTTTATTTATTTATTTGAGAGGCAGTTACAGACAGAGAGAGGGAGAGACAGAAAGGTCTTCCATCTTCTGGTTCACTCCCCAAATGGCCACAATGGCCTGAGCTGGGTCGATCTGAAGTCAGGAGCCAGGAGCCTCCTCCAGGTCCCTCATGTGGGCACAATCACTTGCGCCTCCTCTACTGCTTTCCCATAAGCAGAGAGCTGTATTAGAAGAAGAGTAGCCAGGACATGAACTGGCACCTTAGGCAGAGGGTTAGCCCAGTACGCCATAGTGCCAGCCCCAGCCTTTTTTTTTTTTTTTTTTTTGATGTGTTATAATATAACCTACTTTGGACCGTGTCTTACTTATTCCTGTATCCCTAGCACCTAATAGATGTCCAAATAAATGTTTGACCTGAATTGATCATTTCACTCCTAATTTTATGTGTCACAATTAGTAAGATCTGTTTTCTCAGTTCTCTTCTTCAACCCATGGAGTCCTTGGACAGACTTAGTGAAGGGTAGTCTAGGTAGAAAGGCAGTAGTGACCTCTGGAAAGCAGTAACTTCCACATTTCATGCTGCTTAAGGCTCCAGCTCTCTAAGGTGTTAATCGTCCAGACATCTCTATCTGAGAAGCAAGTGGGAAGGGCTCTTGGATGAGGATCCCAAGGAAGCAGGGTGCCCTGATCTTCATCCTGAACCCCATCTGGATAGAACTTCTAGTGTCTTCCCTCAGCTCAAGACCCGACCCCCTCTGCCTCTTGAATGAGGGCCTGGCTTCTTTTGCAGCTGTCTGGAGGCAGTGTGCCGAGGCACTGATTCCAGCCAGCTCTGTGCTTCTTGTGGGAGTTCAGCAGTGTGGTGAGCAGGGGAAGTGAGAGACCCTGAAACAGGGTGTTAAACTGCCACGGTGAAGATAGTGCTTTAGCCAAGTAGTGGAAGCCACCCGGGAGAATGAGGTTAGGGCAGAGACCCAAGTGGTGGTTTGTGACTGTTGCAAAGGAGGCTAGAAGCCTGGGAGAGTCATCTGTGAGGGAGGCCTTCAGGGAAGCTGCTTTCTAAGCCCTGGGGAGGAGTGGTATTGGAGAGCAGGCCTCCAACACTCCACACCCCCGTTTCAGAAACGATGAGTCAGAGTAATAAGGGAAATGATTTTGACATTTACAAAACATGGGACTTCAGCTAGGGTGAAGGACCCAGGCAGAGTAGAGAGGGAGGCGGTGCATGTTCCCTCCTCTCAGAGTTGAAAAACAGTGTGAAGACTGAGACCAGGGAGATGTGAGTCAAGACCATAGAGCACAGATCTAACCTTTGAACTTGGCCCTCCAGTGAACCTGTGTTCTGAGTGCTCAGGGGCCAAAGTCATCCTCCTCCTTTTCAGGGACTCATGTTAGAGTCAAGTCTTTAATCCCAATCAAATATGGTTATGAGGGCCAAAGCAGATGGATCCAGTGAGGATGGCTGGTATCTCCTCAGGAGTGTCCAGTGTTCTGACTTGCCCTCTCTTCTCTTTGCATAGGTATAGACGGGGCACTGCCTAGAGAGCAGGTCCTGCCAGCCTTGCTGGAGAGGATGCCCGCATATCCGTGATGGGCTGTGGGACAAGCAAGGTCCTTCCTGAGCCGCCCAAGGATGTCCAACTGGATCTGGTCAAGAAAGTGGAGCCCTTCAGTGGCACTAAGAATGATGTCTACAAGCACTTCATCACAGAGGTAGACAGTGTTGGCCCTCTCAAAGCTGGATTCCCAGCAGCCAGTCAGTATGCACACCCCTGCCCCAGCGCCCCCACTACTGGCCACACAGAGCCTCCTTCAGAACCACCTCGCAGAGCCAGAGTTGCTAAGTACCGGGCTAAGTTTGACCCACGTGTGACAGCCAAATATGACATCAAAGCCCTGATTGGCCGAGGCAGCTTCAGTCGAGTGGTACGTGTGGAGCACCGGGCAACCCGGCAGCCATATGCCATCAAGATGATTGAGACCAAGTACCGGGAGGGCCGGGAAGTGTGTGAGTCTGAGCTGCGTGTGCTGCGCCGAGTGCGCCATGCTAATATCATCCAGCTGGTGGAGGTGTTTGAGACACAGGAGCGTGTGTACATGGTGATGGAGCTGGCTACTGGAGGTGAGCTCTTTGACCGCATCATTGCCAAGGGTTCCTTCACTGAGCGTGACGCCACCAGGGTACTGCAGATGGTGCTGGATGGTGTCCGCTATCTGCATGCCCTGGGCATCACACACCGAGACCTCAAGCCTGAGAATCTGCTCTACTACCACCCAGGCACTGACTCCAAGATCATCATTACTGACTTTGGTCTGGCCAGTGCCCGCAAGAAGGGCGATGACTGCCTGATGAAGACCACCTGTGGCACACCTGAGTACATTGCCCCCGAGGTCCTGGTCCGCAAGCCCTACACCAACTCAGTGGACATGTGGGCGCTTGGCGTCATCGCTTACATCCTCCTGAGTGGCACCATGCCCTTTGAAGATGACAACCGCACCCGGCTGTACCGGCAGATCCTCAGGGGCAAGTACAGTTACTTGGGGGAGGTGAGTCTGTCCTGCCCTGTCGTAGGGGTGTTGGGAGGCTCCTGGCGGGGAAGCACATCCTGCAGCTCTCCCTCAGAAGGATGTTCTCTGGCAGCCATGTCCTGAGGGCCAGGTCGCTGATGGAAAAATGCAAAGCAGAATGAACAGATGTCTTGTTTGGGTTCCCTCAAAAGTGAGCCCTGACGTGAGGACTTGGAAGCAGATAGTTTACTTGGGATGAGTTCCAGTGACTACAGGTGAGGGAATGAGGAAAGTGAGTCAGGAAAGAGCCCGTGGGGACTGCCACCCCGAGCCACTGGAACGCAGTCCTGCCTGGGATTTCGTAAACAGTCACATGGAAGGGGCTTGAGAAGGGCAGAAAAACTGGGGTGTTTTTTTTTTTTGATCCACTGCCTCCTGTTCCTCATGGTTTGAGGTTTTCTTTGGGGGCACTAAATCCCCGAGATTTCTGGGCTGTCCTTAATGACAAGTAGTACAAGAAAGCCCTCAGACAGGAAAGCAGAGAAATACAGGTCCAGCAGTGGGAAGTTGTCACCAGCACTGGCACCTGCAGGTGAGCTCAGGGTGTCCTACGAGGGTGGGGCACAACCTCCCCAGCATCTGTTCCGGGGCCCAGGCAAGCTAGGCTGAAGGTGCCCCGTCTTGAGGAACAGCTGCTGCTTATCTCTAACTAGTTTTGCCAGGCAACAGTGAGACCCCCATTGTGTCCAGATCATCTGATTTTTTTTTAAGATTTATTTATTTTGGTGCCTGCACTGTGGCATAGTGGGCTAAGCCTTCTCCTGTGGTGCCAGTGTCCCATATGGGTGCCAGTTTGAATTCTGGCTGCTCCACTTTTTTTTTGTTTGTTTGTTTGTTTGTTTTTGTTTTTGACAGGCAGAGTGGACAGTGAGAGAGAGAGACAGAGAGAAAGGTCTTCCTTTTGCCGTTGATTCACCCTCCAATGGCCGCCGTGGCCGGCGCGCTATGGCCGGCACACCGCACTGATCCGAAGGCAGGAGCCAGGTACTTCTCCTGGTCTCCCATGGGGTGCAGGGCCCAAGCACTTGGGCCATCCTCCACTGCACTCCCGGGCCATAGCAGAGAGCTGGCCTGGAAGAGGGGCAACTGGGACAGAATCCGGCGCCCCGACTGGGACTAGAACCCGGTGTGCCGGCGCCGCAAGGAGGAGGATTAGCCTAGTGAGCCGCGGCACCGGCCAAGCCCCGACCTTTATAATTATATATGAGGCTATTTATTAGGCCGGCGCCGCGGCTCACTAGGCTAATCCTCCACCTAGCGGCGCCGGCACACCGGGTTCTAGTCCCGGTTGGGGCGCCAGATTCTGTCCCGGTTGCCCCTCTTCCAGGCCAGCTCTCTGCTGTGGCCCGGGAGTGCAGTGGAGGATGGCCCAGGTGCTTGGGCCCTGCACCCCATGGGAGACCAGGAAAAGCACCTGGCTCCTGGCTCCTGCCATCGGATCAGCGCGGTGCGCCGGCCGCGGTGCGCCGGCCGCAGCGCGCCGGCCGCGGCGGCCATTGGAGGGTGAACCAACGGCAAAAAGGAAGACCTTTCTCTCTGTCTCTCTCTCTCACTGTCCACTCTGCCTGTCAAAAATAAAAAATAAATTAAAAATAAATAAATAAATAAAAAAGTTCTTTAAAAAAAAAGATATATTTATTTATTTGAAAGGCAGAGGCAGAAAGAGAGAGAGGTCTTCCATCCGCTGGTTCACTCCTCAGTGACTGCACTGGCTGGAGCTGCGCCGATCTGAAGCCAGGACCCAAGAGCTTCTTCCGGATCTCCCACGTGAGTGCCAGGGCTCAAACAGGCCATTTTCTACTGCTTTCCCAGGCCATATCAGAGAGCTGGATCAGAACTGGAGCAGCCAGGACTCAAACAGGCACCCATATGGGATGCCGCCCGGCACTGGAGGCAGTGTCTTTACCTGCTACCCCACAGCACTGGCTCCTGCTCTACTTCTGATTTAGCTCTCTGCTGTGGCTTAGGAAGGCATTGGAGGTTGGCTCAGGTGCTTGGGCCCCTGAACCCGCCAGGGAGACCCGTAGGAAGCTCCTAGATCCTGGATTCAGATCAGCCCAGCTCCAGCTGTTGGTGGCCTTTTGGGAAGTGAACCAGTGCATAGAGGACCTTTCTCTCTGTCTGTCCCTCCCTCCCCCTCTCCCTCCCCCCCCTCGCTGGCTTTCAAATAAATAATAAAAATATTTAATAATAAAAATAGGTTTATTGGGGCTGATGTTGTGGCGTAGCGGGTAAAGCCTCTGCCTGCAGTGCCAGCATCCCATATGGATGCTGGTTTGAGTCCCGGCTGCTCCACTTCCAATCCATCTCTTTGCTATGGCCTGGGAAAGCAGTAGAAAGATGGCCCAAGTGCTTGGGCCCCTGCACCTGCGTGGGAAACCCAGAAGAAGCTCCTGGTTCCTGGCTTCAGAGCAGTGCAGCTCTGACTGTTGCGACCATTTGGGGAGTGAACCAGTAGATGAAAGACCCTTCTCTCTCTCCCTGCCTTTCCTCTCTCTGTGTAACTCTTTCAAGTAAATAAATAAATCTTTAAAAAAAGAAAAAAAGAGAAAGCCTTGTATTAAAAAAACAGGTTTATTTATTTTATTTGAAAAGCAGTTACAGGGCAGGGGGAGAGAGAGAGAGAGCTTCCATCCACTGGCATCCACCGGTTCACTCCCCAAATAGGCATTGTGTAGGTACAACAGCCGGAGTTGAGCCAGTCCAAAGCCAGGAGCCAGGAGCTTCTGCTGTGTCTCCCATGTAGGTGCAGAGTCCCAGATACTTGGCACATCCTCCACTGCTTTCCCAGGTGCATTAGCAGGGAGCTGGATCAGAAGTGGAGCAGCCAGGACTTGAACCAGCACCCATGTGGGATGCCGGTACTGCAGGTGGCAGCTTTACCTGCTACACCACAGCACTGGCCCCAGATCATCTACTTTTTGAAAGAGAAGCTAGATGATCTGCTTTATTCCTTTTTCCTCCTTTTATTCTGATAATCTGTTTTAAAATGTTGGAATCTAATTCACATAATTAAGCAACACTTGTGTGCCAGCAAACACTAATGGGTGGGCCAGATTCAATCAGCAGGCCATCAGTTTGTATCTGTGGATATGCTGATAGTCCTGATACCTGTAAAAATCTGTCAGGGTTCAGTACTGCTAGTAGCTGAATGAAGGTGCAGGAGAAGTAAGAGCTAGTCAGTCCTTAGGAAGGGTGCTGCATGGTTAAGGAGACCAGACCAGCGCCACAGCCCTGAACATAGTGGAGTGCTTAGGAAGGCTGTGAAGAGAACATGTGACAGCTGTCTTTATGTGGGAGGTGAGATGAGCTCTGCAGGATGCCAGGATGCTGCTGACGTTAAATGGCACTGTGTAGGTCTGAGTAAGAACTTGGGAAGCTAGAGGATAGTCTCCCAATATTCACTTGAAATCTAGGAATGCCCAATAGGGAACTGTCTCACTAGAGACTATTACAGTCCAGTTGAATTTGATTCAAGGTTCATTGAAATGGTTTGGTTCAGTTCCCAGCATCCTCAGGACAAGTGTGAACTTTTGGTATTTGTGGAGGGGAATGGGAAGATTGAGAATAGGAGGTGCAGGGGTAACAGAGGGAACAACTTGGGAATGAGTTCCTTACACCTGATGATGGTCCTCTCAGTAATGCTGGGTTGATGTCCTGGCATTTACTTTGTTCTCAGATATGGATTGGTCATCGTGTTGGCACAATCCTGTAAGTGTAAACTGATGGTAAGAGCCTTTTCCCATATCCCAGGATAGAGCTGTACAAGCATGCCAGGATACTGGCAGGAACTTGCTTCCCTGGAGGCCATCTATCCGAAGTGAGTGGCTTGAAGTTGTCCTGTCTGTCCTGAGCTCCATGTAGAAAAGTAAAGAGAAACAGATTTCTGCCAGGCAGTGGTAAAGGTCACTGCTTCACACACTTTAATGTTCATACAAATTCCCTGGGATCTTGTTAAAGTGTACATTCTGATTTGGTAGGTCAGGGTGGGGCATGCAAGGCTGCATTTCTTTTTTTTTTTTTTTTTTTTTTTTTTTTTTGCAGGCAGAGTGGACAGTGAGAGAGAGGGACGGAGAGAAAGGTCTTCCTTTGCCGTTGGTTCACCCTCCAATGGCCTCTGTGGCCAGTGTGCTGCGGCCGGCGCACCGCGCTGATCCGACGCAGGAGCCAGGTACTTATCCTGGTCTCCCATGGGGTGCAGGGCCCAAGCACTTGGGCCATCCTCCACTGCCTTCCCAGGCCACAGCAGAGAGCTGGCCTGGAAGGGGGGCAACCGGGACAGAATCCGGTGCCCCGACTGGGACTAGAACCCGGTGTGCCTGCACCGCAAGGCGGAGGATTAGCCTAGTGAGCCGCGGCACCGGCCAAGGCTGCACTTATAATAAATATGAGGCTATTGGCCTTCAAACGTTGCTTTGAGGAGCAGGTGTTCAGGCTAATGCCTAAAATGGGCTGGGGGTGGTCAGGGACAGCCTTGGAGAAGGGAAGAGTTGGGCTTTGGAGGACAACCAAGAGGAGTCAGATTGAGCAAAGAGGAATTTTCAGGGCACAGTGGCCTGAGGGACAGGTTCATCTAAAGCTGAGGCCGGAGAGTCGTGCCATGAGGGCCCTTGGGAAGTTCAGTTATGCCGATGAGGCTTTGAAGAACCATATGACATTGTAGCTGAAACTGAAAATTTAAACTAGACATGCACTGAAGCTTGAGACTGGCTGTGCTTTGGGAGCTCTGACTCCTGAAGCTCTGCGTGTGGCCAGGCTGGTGTGGGTCCAGCTGGCAGAGGGAGCACAGAGCTTAGATGTGGGAGGGAGAGGAGGAGGGAGGTTTCCCAAGAGATGCCGACAGGGAAAGTCTTCCAGGAAGTCTGTGGGTCTGCCTAAGAGTTCCTGCTTGTGGCAGTTGAGCCGGCACTTATCTAATTGGAGTTGCACAGTGTTGTTAATTAGCCATTGATTACCCTAGCGTGGAAGACCGACAGATA